TGTGTGTGTGTTAAACATTTAAACTTGAACATTAAAATTTACCCTTTTGTCTAAAGGGAGGTTCAACATTACAATTTTTTTTATCCCTGTAACGGGAAAGATGTGTAAACATCAAATTTCAGTTGCTGTAGTTGTGTTTGCTGGTTTTATTGTTGATCTCTTTTTGAGCGGGGAGAGGGGGGTTAAACATTTACATTCGTTACGTAAGTTGTACCTTCCTCCTTCCCCAGTTCCAGCTGTCCATCTACGACACCTCCGGCCGGGAGGAATACGCACGTCTCCGAGGACTGACCTACAACCACTGTGACGTAGTGCTCATCTGCCTCGCTCTCGACTCCCCCCAATCTGTGCACAACGTCATCAACGAGTGGGTACCCGAAGTCCGCCATCTTGCCCACAACATGCCCTTCATTCTCGTGGGGACAAAATCTGACCTCCGGGTCAAAGGTGAAGGAAGGGCGGGAGATTATATCACACAGAAACAAGGGCGGTCACTTGCCAAGCGTGTAGGAGCTGCGAAATATATGGAGTGCTCGGCCTTGTCGGAGGCGAATAGTGATCAAAAGGAGGTGAAACGAGTGTTTGGGAGGGCGTTGAGGGAGGCGACGGGGGACACCAGTTGTTGTTATTGTTGTTGTTGTTGAGGCTAGTGGGGGAGGGAGAGAGAGTTTTTGTGTTAGATTTTCAAAACACATTCCAACCTATCCAGGACGACCACCCGTGTTGTTCAGAAATGAAATGGTTGTCTTTGACTGCTGGATATCGTTAAGAGTGTAATTATTATGATGAAAAATGCAAGGGGTAGTATAAGTGGTCATTTGTACAGGTGATTGTCTTAGACCGGTGGGCGTTGTCCGCTAGCTGTGCAACTGTTCTAAGCCCAGAGTCGACGGAAACAACCAAGAACGCAACAGTTTTCAGGAGAGGGAAAAAAAACGTTCATTCTTTCAAACACTGTCTATACACCTACATCATGCATCTTATCCTGCTTTTCTGACATAGAGAGAATGTGAATTGAAAAACTAACAAACAAATAGTTCACGAGCATATGCAGCCGATACCTCAGATTAAGATACTACAACCTAAAAAAATAAAAATAAAAATTTTGGGCTTCATACATCTGAACAGCTGAATAGAGACAAATAATTATATGCATGGATAATATTTTATTATATAGAGACAGCGATAAAGCGAGATTCGAGGG